TTATAAGCATTCAATCTCGATCTAAAACAATATATGCTAAACGCACACGTAATTTAACATCTCAGAAAGGACTCGAGCGCGAAGAAAAGAAAGTGAGACTATTTGTCAAGACAAAACATTCTTTCTTATTGTTTGTGTCGGAAAAATCGGCATACCTGCTTCGTATTTTCACGCGCCCTTACCTGACTTAAAAGCTCGTAAAGATAAGTATAATATGCACTGCTCGCGATACAGAAACTGTCGTAACAAAAACGTCGAACGGAACAGGTAGAGGAACGATAATAGGATATGCATTGTGGTGACGTTGGCGTCGTTTGTCGACGGAATAATGTCTTTTTAAACGAACGAGATGCCAGAGGCTTTTGTGCAACCGATAGAAATTTCCTGGGCCGACTGTACCAATTTCTTACGTTCGCTATATAATAGTCGGGAGATATCGTTATATTGCACGTTATTACCTATCGGCGTCTAATATAGGTATTTACGTGAACTTCTGAGTTCTGATAGCCGAGAGTCTACGCCCACCGTGTCCGATAGAGCAGGAAGAGAAAATAACTAAAGCACATATTATTATAACCTTTCCCTCGTGATCGCAATTAACCCTTTAAATGTTACATCTGCTACGAATTTTGCGTATAAGCGCAATAGACAGTTTTATACAATTACATAAAAAGTAGAAAAAATTGAATTTTCAGAATAACCGGTTTGAAAAATTAAGATAATTATATTTTATTATTACATATTTTTTTATATAACGTAACGTTTTTCTTTTTTTCCACTCGAGTTAATGAACATCAAATCATAAAAACGGAATCCGTGATAAAATTGTTTATTCGATATAGTAATTGCATGATTATTACTCACTTCAGCGTGAAGATGATAAGCATAGATATATTACTATTCGATTAATCTCTCTATACATGTATATTCGATAAATTATCACGTTAGAAAATCGGTTTGTTTATGATACTTAAATTTTTAAACTTGTTTTAAACGTTTCTTGTCAGAATTATTTCGATAGCCGTATTCGTAAACTGGAGAACTCGTGACGAAGATAATTTTCAAATTAAAAGTCCAAGGTATAAAACATATATTGCAATCGTAAACGATAAAGAGAAAAGATAATATTGCTGAATGTATAGTGACGAAGTATAAACGTGTCTGCGTATTAGAAAAGCGTGAAATGTATGAAAGATACTTTTGTCGTTTGCTCGGTGTATGTTATCTCGATCTGCAGTCTCCGAACATCTCTAACACACTCTGATAGATCGCCGGAAATCACAGCGCGAGCAAATTGAATCGCGCAGCAAATAAGGATAAATACAGGAAACGGTCTTCATAAAGGAGTCATTTTTCTCCCGGACGAAACACGAGTGGGTACGGATTTACTTTCACGAATTACCTGCGGTATGCGCATGACTGCAGAAACGGCTTGTTCCGCTGCGAATAGCAGGCCGTAACATCCTTATAAGCACACATGCTCGTTCATCCGTCGAAATAGCTATTCCGTCGCAGTTTCGGTCTTTGCTCGCGGTATCGCTAGCTATTATTATAAACACGCGTTTCGCATGTAAATTGCCTTTTTATACGTAATTTATACGATTTGTAAATTGTTTTTTTGTAATTGTAATGAGTACATTGATTTCTTTTTATCTTGCTTCACGACAAGTTCTTTACAAGTTTTTTTTCCAAGAAATCTAATTGACTTTATATCGATGAAACAATTTTTAATCACGGAAAATTTTGCCATTTACGAAAATAGGTAGACCCACTTTTGCACTGATTGTTGCGACACTCCTCTTAATCACGATTGTAGAGATAAGCCAGTAAGTGATACAATTCTGAAATTCTGCTTTTACAAGAGATAAAGCTGTGTTTGAGTTTACGTTAGACAATATAGAGTTATTCACAAAGAGATTAGTTACAAACTTAATTTGAGTAATGCGGTACGTAGACTCTGCCGTTCAAGATCTCTTTCGGCTGATGTTGAAGTAAACATTTATTCGACAAACTCTAATCCTTTTGCTACGCGTACGAAACCCGTATGGAATTAAGCATTTCTTCCGCACGAATGGAGAAAGGCGAGAAAGCTAATCTTCAAACAATTCGTGAAACGAGACTTAATATATGCAGCCGATCGGAAGTGGTTCGGTCGCGGGGAAGAAGTTGGGAAACCGAGTTTGGTTCCAGCTCTGCCGAGCGAGCTACGAAATTCCTGAGGCAATTTCTGAGGGTGAATCGAACGAGAGTTCGAGAGTGGCGATAGAGAGCGGCAAGGGAGGGGGATTCGTCCCTACGAGTAAAGGAGATAATAGAAGATACCGTTCCCGACCCTCTCTCTTCGCCGCCCCTTCGAAATAGCTATTCTGTCGAATCCTCCGCGCGTACTACCAGCTAACGGTAAATGTCCACATATATCTATGCCCACCGTAATGGATATAGTCGGATGGCGGTAGGTCGTACCTGCGCCAATTAGTGTCAAACTACCGGAATTGGGACTGAACAGGGGGGTTGTCGGTCGTACCCCGGGCCGTTTCGGCGACGATAAATTTTTCGTCAAATCGATTTAATCCGCGCGAGTGGAGGCGGGCTGTCTGATTAAATTATCCGAAGCGGAATGGTCGCGTAATCTCGTCGTATCAATCTTTGTTATTGTATTATCGCGATTTAAGCGAATTAGCGGATTTGCGGGAATCGATGATCGATATTTCATGAGTTTCACAGAACAACCAACGTTCAACGGTCCGCAGCACGTCCGCGTTGATAAATACGACATTCTATGAGACGTTGTAAATATTTTGATCAAGTGCTAATCTGTTTTTTTTTTTTAGAAAAAATTATGTGCTATTTTTAAAATAATTTCTTAACATTTGTTTCTAGAAACGCTCTCTCAATAGACAGACGAAAGCCTACTTTGCTGGTGCGATACGCGATTTACCAGTAAATCCATTAAAGACGAGATATGCGCATAATTTATTTCCCGGCGCGCATATTACACGCGTAATTGCGGTGCACTGAATGCATAGAGCAACGCGACCGCGGCTGTCAATCACGGCGGCGTCGCGCGCAAAAACTTGTAGCTTCGCTGAAATGAAAACGCGACGACACGTTTGGCTGCGAGAGCGTAGTGTGCGTACACACGACGACGGGTATCGGTGTTGGACATTCACGTGTAACGGCTTTATACATCCACCGAGATAAACTATGTAAACTATGTTTTTGCGTGTGCTCCGTGCAGACATAATCAATCCAGATAACGCTTGCAACACGTATCACCTTTCCGATCTCTGTCTTGTTTCCAGCGTGAACTTACATCCGGAGAAATGAGAAGATTCAATTTACGTTCTTTTTCTATATACCACAATATTTACTAATTTATTTAATGAATCGGTCGACCAAAGTTAAGGTTGCGGGAACCTCAACCTCTTAAATGGAGAGTATTAACGTGTCGTTTGCTGAAATATATTCGCGATTATAAATGAGACTAATAAGGTTTTTTTCTATTTCCGTTTGAAACCGGTTTACGCGTTATTTTTTCGCTCTGCAGGAAAGCCGCGTGAATGTAGCTTAACAGCGAATTCGGCTTATTGGGGAGATAACGCCGGTTATGGTCTCTACAATTTAACGCGGTCCGTTTTGATGCGCTACATTTCGGGCCGACGTTCGCGCACATATGTACAATAATTATTAACGATAACGCGCATTCGATGCGATAATGCACGCCGCGATTTATCGGCGAGACTTAAAAAAGTCGATGATCGATCATGCTTTGTCGAAAGTGCGAGATCGTATCGCGCCGTCGCGTCGGTCGCGTCGGCCGTTATTATTTCTCTTCACGCGGACACGTTGCGCGAGAGATATCGAATTGCGCAATGCGTTTCAACTTATGCATAATGTTTATGTATATTTGTAGACCGTGGCGTGATTTATCGACCGGTCTTAATTAAGCCGCCCCTTTCGCTCTTTTATTAGTCGTAATTTAATGTTGCACGTAAAGCGATGCACTGATTCAATTACCGCGCTGTCAATTCTGAACATTTGTATCAATAATAAAATAACGAATGTATTAAAAGATATTTTCGTTCCTACGAACAAATATAATTATATAAAATATTAAGTACCGAATACCCTTTTATTTTTTAGCTAAATCTTTAATATTTGTCAATGTGTAAGCGATAATAGACTAAATAAAGTGTGATATTTTTTTCGAGCTGTGTGGTGACTCTCTACTCTCACACTGAAACGAGAGTTTCGATGTTAATGGTGCGCTTTTTAACGCGAAAATTTAATGAGGACGCGGCAGCGCGCTTTGAGCCATTGAGTTCTGCCGTAATGAGGACAAATATTTATACAGTATTTTATTATTAATTAAACCGTTAACGCGGGCGCGCGCTAGAGAGGTTCGATCGTTGACCGTCTATATTTAAACGGGAGATCTAAATTACAGTTTATATCGGGGAAAGAACGAAGTTACGTCCATGTGACTTCTGCATAACATTTTATAAGTAAATGATACTCGATAATTATAACGCCCTGCCCTTCTCTCGCTTTTAAAGCGAAGTTTTTATTCAAAGAACAACTTTGCGTGCAACTTTATTTATAATTAGTTCTTTGTTAACGTGTGAAATATTCCTGTATTAAAAGTGGCTACTGTATTAAAGCGAATGTTGATGTACCGCGTATATCAGCGGATATATTATCTTCCACCTGCACGCTCACGCTCGATTGTGCACGATATGTTCACGTTACACGAGACTGTTTACGTCAATCGAGCGTGATATGCGCGGATAAAGGCTAATATTCCCGAAAAAATGCAAATCAGCGTCAGCTTTATTCGTATGGCGAGATTGGCGAGTAGAGCGGCAAGAGGAACGGGGGAAGGCTTATCGAATTTCTCGGTCGTCGCATAAAAGTGTTTCGCGAAGTCGCTCGCAGTTATCAGCCTAACTTTCGCGATGAAGTCCATGATCGTCCAGTCCCAGCTATCATGAATCGTAATGTCGTCGACGCGTTTATACGTCGTGTAAGTTTATCGCGCGCCGCTCACGATATCTACGATAACATCGTGAAAAGTTGCTCGTGCTACCGTCGTGAGTTTACGTGCTCGAGAAACACGTCAGCAGAGCATCGTCACGATCATGGAACAACTGACCCGCAGTCGCCTAGAAAGGAAAGTCTTTGTAATTAAACTACTTCGTATTCTATTGAAACTATTATTTGTTATAAACAAGTAAATGACACTTAAACGCGTAAAGTGGAACACGTTGAAGAGAAGGTATAGAGATTTGAAACGTGTTAAAGAGGCGCGATAAAAGATACCTCTTTGTATGTGTATCCAAGTATACTTCAGATTGTCTCTTGTAGGTATATCTAGATTGTCGTGCTTGGAAATTCAGATATCTTTAGCAGACCAAGCTGTATTTACACGTTGATATCTGTGTTGATTTAGATGTTATACAGAGATAGAGCCTTCAAGTTTGGATCACTGAAATCAATTATCTTATACCATTATCGTTTCGTGCATCCTTTGGATGGTAGTTACGGACAATTAGGCTAGAATAGGCTCTCCTCTATCTCTTAATGGCCGGGATCTCTTCTCTCTTGTCCGACCCCTCGCGCAGGTAGAGAAGAACCGCTTCCACGAGAGCATTTAGATTCCTCGTTAATATCTCCGCCACGTAGTACGCTCGGCTTATCCATTATAGCACTCGTATCGAACGATTATGGAAGCCTGATCGAGTCGTTTCATCAATCACTTCTCAATCTCCTTTCATATATTTGCCTCTATCAGCCAGCCGGCACGGTAGCGGCTTGTGTCCTAAGCGGAATTACGAACAGGCTATTAGCGTGTACTTTCGCACGTAGCTATTGCGGATAATGACGATAGTGACTGTTGAATCAATAATACATTCTTCTTTTTATAGCGCGACGGTATAACCGCTAATTTTGTTAATATAATATAATTAGGAGATCGCGCGCACGTCAATACGCAAGGCCAGACTTCACTTATACTTAGCGCTAAACACGCGAGACTGGGGGATCTAGAAAAGGTCTAAAAAGTCAACCTTATAACCGTATAGATATACTGAGATTGTAAATTTTTGCTGCGGGGGAAAAGATGTGAAATTAGCTCCTTTGACAGACTTTCTTTCGTGGAATTTCGCGTTTAAACACTTTAAAAGAAATAGATATAAGACATAGAGTGCAGCTTTAATGAGATGGAACGTGGCGTCGTTAAACGATCATCGGCGTAATTCCGTTAATCTCGGCATAAGGACAGCAAAAAGCTAATAGCGACGATTAGGCTTGTAAAACGGCCCGCGTTTGCCCGTAGTAATCGCGGGCACGCGGGCTCAATTTGTTTATTCGTTCGCGCTAATTGCACGGTGTCGCTTGGCAATTTGTAACGGGTGAAATAATGTTCGAAGAGAAAGGGAGAGAGAGATTGCCGACGACTTTGTCAGTCGTCCGGTTTGTTTCCGCGTTACGGTCACAATTAGGTAAATAGCCAGGCATTCTCGGCTATGCGAGAGAATGGGAGAAACGATAAATTACGAGCGACTCGTAAATCGCCGACGAGTCGGGGGACTTTCAACTGTCGTATTAAGAAGTCAAGTGTGCTTGAAGCGAACAGTTGAATGAGAGTGACAGAGACGGAAAGAAAAGGAAAACGGAGAAAGAAAGATGAGAGACAAGAGAAAGGCATAGTCATTGAAGCGTCTTTTGCGGTCGTCGCTCTCCCGCATGGATCCATGAATGATAGAAAAAAATAGACACCATAATCATCACCCGCCCGCATCTTGCCTCGGCTAATCAACCGGTTGTTATAAAGATCGTTTCAGGCGACTCGGGAGATAGTTGTTCATTTCATCACTTTATTTCGTCTCAAATGGCAAGTCCCTTTTGTTCAGAGATTCCGAAATATGTGATACATACAAAGGACTGGAATTTTGCATCGACGTTTTATGTGCGAGGTTCTCTGATCATAAGAATATCGAAGATTTTTATGGTTTTTGGATTATAAGCAGTTAAAGCAGCTTTCTTTTTTTAGCAGAATTTAATCGAATTTTAATTTGAATAATTTAATACTTAATATAATATTTAATATACTTAAATTTGTATAAGTAAAAATATATAAGATATATTTTTAATATTGAACATTTATTGCATCATGTGGATGAACATTTAAGAGATGCTCTATATTTCTTTGAAGAATAGCATATATAATGTTTCAAGAGAACGTTGATATCGAAAAACTTGTATACATGAATGTTGTGTCTCTTTAATTTCTACGACACGGACAGATTATATTTTAATCTTTTCAAGCATAAGATTACTTCATGGAATAGCCTAACTACTTTGTTGGGACTTCTGTGGCCACTTTCGCTTCGTAATGATCGCTGTCTTGTGGAAAGTCGGAAGACACGACGCGTTAGAGTCAATCAATCGCGAGAATATCACTTGAATTATGACTCGCGATATTGCCTATAAATCGTCGTATTAATTGGATTCAATGCTTAATATTTTCTTGTTTTAAATGTATTTGCAGCATCGTTAAAAATCCGAGTCAGTTAAATTAGATCAATTAAATAATACGAGCGAGGGCAATTGAAATTATTAACAGCTTCCAATTGTTTCAGTACATTATAAAAACTCTTTGTACACACAGATAAACTTTTTATATCAAATATTCTCAATATAAAATGCGATATGAAGTATAAGACGAAGATTTCGGAAGATCGATATCTGTAAATTGATACATGATAGTAAGAAAGTCGATGCAACGATTATTTTGCGCTAAAATTAGCGAAGTGGCCGTGCTCGCGAGCGACATAATTGCGTCCATCTGCTCGACACAGTGTCATACGGCACTGTAACGGGTGAGCCCCCGAGTAGCGATTAGTTGGGTAACTATTTGCGCGAGACTTTCGAGAGAAGAGCGATACGAGGCGTGCGAACAAACAGGTGTGCATACACGCGTGTGTGAGGAAATTGTGTATGTACACGTCCGCTTATCCCCGTAATTGGAAGTGATAATTATGAATTAGTCGAATAACGCGCTTCTTGCACACAGGATACTCCGCTCCTGTCCCATACTTCCTTTCAAGCCATTCACCTTTCGAAGGTTGTTTCGCAATACTTTCTTCAACGAAATGCAATTGGAAACTATTTTCTTTTGCGATATATCTTGTTTTTCAATAATAACACGTGTGCCTCTTTTGATCTGACTGTTATTCTTGCTTAGAAGTTTCTCTCTCTCTCTGCTGACGACTGTGTCATCTTGTTAAACTGCAATAGAGTGCGCGATGTTTGCTACACCCTGTATACGTGCGATGGATTCTATGCTTGATACGGCTCATGGACAGTAGGCGTTTCCAGCGTCATTATAAATCAGAGTTAAACACGCTAATTATATCGGTCCGTGGTCGCCATCAGTGGGAGGAGGGGACAGAGGGGGGCCTCAAGGGTTCTCAATCGGCGGCGAACTCGTGCCGCTTTCGGCTTTTCTAATTAACGTGTCATAACGAGCGTAAAACCGGGTTACGACCTTATAACCGTCGATAATTCTGATGATTGTTCGCGCTTGTATGCGTCCGTCGACTAAATATTTGTAGTTAATAGCTCGTTACTGTCGTCTAGTGAAATTATCGCGAAATATTGTAGGAATGTGTAGGAATGTGATTTATCCAGGTGTATTTAACATCCGATTTTTTTTCAATATTTAGATCGAAAATGAGATCACATATGTTTCCAGAGTGTACAACTTCAAATTATGATTTTGCCGAATAATAATCCCAGGCGTCTTCAACGATACGGAGGAAATATCAAATGTTTTTTTTTTTAAGAAACTTACATATTATTTAGTTCTTTTATTGAACATAGAAAAATTGGAAACAAAAAGGAACAAGATTAGAAACCAGGCCAAGTAGATTTACCTTTACTCAGTCTTTTCAATTTGTCTTACAAATCCGTGATAAGAAATATTTAGGTTGGAAAGAATTCGTCGCGCACGAATGCTCGTGAGAAACCTCGTTCGCTCCCTGGGCAGAATGAGAACCTCTTCGTGGCTCACTCTGCGCCGAGTAAGAATGAGTTTTGAAGGAGGAGGTGAGAAAGATCTGAGAGACAGAGCGACGAGGCGATCTAACGTGAGATAATGAGTTAAGACGAGATAGCGAGTTACCGATGAAATATACGTACGTGAGCACGTGCACGTATATGTACACTCGCGAGTGCATGCGTGTGTGTGCATATTTACGCGCGGCTGAGTGCCAAAGGTCGGGAATGAGAACCGCTGGCCATTATCCAGCAGCGAGGCTACTCTTCATTTAAGTCCCATTCGTCTTTCTATCGGATCGCCTCTCCCGTACACGTTCATAGATTTATCTTCCTCAAAAAAACTGACCTGTGTATGATGTATCCTATCTGCAAAAGTTTTGTATCGCATGAGCAATGTGTTTCATCAAATAGAGAGACAACGGTGTGCCACAAAATTCCCCAAAAAGTTTTAACATGAGAAATCGGATTGTCTGTGATTCTCAAATCATTTTAACGAAAATAAAAATTTAAATATTTTTTTTAAAGTATTATTACATATTAATTACTTCTGTTTTTAAAGAAATGAAGTTTAGCGGTAATAAACATGCTATCCTTTCGAAAACATTGCGATCGATGAGTAATGATTCTCGCGAACTCTGCATAATGTTAAGTTTCGGATGCAAATATTTGGAAACCATATTATTCCTCTTCGATTCGAGCATGTCTTTCTATTTCGGTCCGTTCGCGGTGTGAGCAACGCTTAAAGTTCGTCTCGCGCGGAGGGGTACCCGGGGGTGCTTCTTGAAAAGCTTGCCTTCGCATTTTTCGCGATCAAACGCCGCTGGAATTCCTGGCTCGGCCGCCTGTCGAGCTTCGATCCGCTTTTTCGCTGCACCTTGCGCGCAGTGCCAAGAAGTTAGTCGGCCGGAATTCACACTGACTCATTCGATTAGGTCGTTCGTTCGGTCGGGGAAGAGGTTCGTT